GTGTGTGTGTGTGTGTGTGTGTGTGTGTGAAAACAGCATGACAGATTTGTGGAAGAACATCTGGAATAACAGTTTGAGATTACACTGCTTTGAATGTAATGTGATATATACAGTGAATTAGCAGCTGGAGCTGGAACCCTCATCGCTCTCAGTCTGGAGGTTTGAATTTCTTCCACTGACAGACTAATGACTGATGTAATTATAAATGCTGTTAACTGGGTGAGTGAGCTATGCAGTTTTCTGTCTTGGCCTTGAAACCTACTGTAAATCACGTGTGTTATCGTCCCATTGGTTTCTCTTGTATTGATTTCTCCTCTGTACTGTAGCAGTGGCTGCAGCCTATTTATTTCAACTGATAGTAAATGAATTGTAATTTAATCATCTTACAATGTTCTGTCTTTCATATAAGTGTTCTTTCACCTTCCAGTGGCTGAAGCAGAACTGAACCAGGTTTCTAAAAGATCTCCCCTGAACTAAAAAAGTTACAGTCACTCAGAATGGTCACAGAGAGATTTAAATTGTGTTTGTGTCTGCTTCTGTGCGTCTGTGCCACAGTCACAGACGATGATGAGAACATGTCTGGGGGACGCACATCTGTCCACATTTTCCATCTCCCCCGTCTGACTGTGGCACCCTTAGATTAACCCCTGTTGTGCCAGCTCACACTCAAAAAGAACTAGTTCACAGTTCAGTTCATGCAGATGAAAATGAACTAGTTCACATTCATAGCAAATTTTTAAACTAAGTTCACGGTTCCAAAAAAGGAACTAGTTCACGTTCATTTGTTCCGTTTTAAACTGGGCTGGTTTACCCTGAAGTTTACCTGATAACAGAAATCTGACCTGATAATCTGGGGGAGGTCTGCCAGACAGGCCACAGTACGTCCATGTGTCGAGCAGCGGTCTGACAGGCCTCCCCTGTTGCATTGTTGTTGTTGTAATAAGCACACTCCAAGCACTCAATCCATTTAATTGCATTTTATTCTTGTAGCACCACAACATCACTTACATTATACTTCACTGAACTGACAGGGAGAGAGTTTTTCTTTGCAGGTGAGGCCTTGAGATGAGGCCTTTGCAGGTTCCCTCCAAAAGTGACTTCCTGATTTACTTCCACATTTCATAAAAATGAATCTTTATCGTCTAAATCCAGAGAAGTTGAACGCATCACAGTGAAATAACGCTTTATGTAAAACACAAGAGTCTCTTTGTTCAACAATGGTTCAATCCTCATTAAATTTAAAATCCTGAGTAGTTACAGCAGGCTGTCGGCCTAATCACAGAATATTTACTACGTGTTATTTCAATATAAAACATGACCCTTAGTGATTCAGAGACTCTTTTTCAACTTGTAAAGATGCTGTAGAAACTTTTCTTTAAAGTTTAATCAACTTTAACCACAAAGAAATGTTTCATGTTGAATTAACAAACATTTCTTTTTCACGGAATTACAATATAAAGTAGTGAGAAAAGAAAAAGTCTGAATGATACAATAAAGAAACCAGAGATCAACTAACTAACAAGACAATAACACATCTGGGACAAACAACACACTAATCAGTTCAAATCATTCTGTTTCTCAGACTTTGAGCAGAGTGAACCCTCTTTAAGATCCAAACAATAAAACACACAAAGCCTTCCCTCCACTAGTGAAACATTTTCTCAAACAAATGTCAAGAGGAAGAAGAAGAAGAAGAAGTGAAGTGACTGTTGGACTCACCGGATGTTCACCGGAGAGAAGAGTCTGAGATCAGCTGTTTGTTTGGAGACAGAGCTGCTGATGGACCAGCTGCTGTGCGGCCATCTCTCCACAGGGAGGCGCCATCATGACTTCTACTCCGTATTTAAAGGCGGAAAGGCGGGATCAGTGATTCACACATTGATTACAATGTGTCAAGAAGAAAGTTTGTAGACTTTCTGTCTTTGATATTATTTTTTTAAATATTTATTATCCATTTAATACTCACTCTCATCTGTGGAATTCAATGGCTAATGTGCATTCCACTGTTTATATTAACTTTTGTATATTCTAATTGTATATTTTGTACTTCCTTGCTCCTATATTGCACGTTTACCTATGTATTACTTTTACCATTGTCTACTTTGACTATCCCTATTATCACTGCACCACAGCAAAACTCCCCATTGTGGGAGGTTTGGACCTTAAAGAAACAAAAGCACTTCAATTTATTTGAGGACATAAAATGTTTCTCACTGAATTAGATGGCTGACATTTAACCATATCTACCCTATTGTTATCGGCAAGTTATTTATTTATTTACAATCTTTTATGAATAAAAGCACATTTTCTAATGTAATAACATGTTCTGTGAGAAGTTTACAAATGATTACTAGGTTGTGAGCTGTTTTATATTTTCAATAAATAAGGGGGAAAGATAATTTGCTTGTAGGACTGTGTTTTAATCGAACGAGTTTTGAATGGAAAACATGTGGTTATTACTTTAATTAAATTGATTTAATATCATTTTAGCTATATATATATATATATTTTTTTCCATTTCATAAATAAATGATCAGTTATTGAAAAAGTGTTTTACTGCAGGGACCTTCGGCTCCAGTCCAGTAGGGGGCGGTAAACACCAGTGAGGCGGTTTCCCGCCAAGAGAAAGGAGCGGAAAAAGACGGCGGAACCCAATAGTTTGACTAATGTTTCGTGTCGACGGTATTTTGTGTGCGGACTTTTGAACGGTCTTTAGATTCGCGCTAAGTTTATAACTCCGGCTTCAAACTGGACAATGCAATGGCTGTTCCCGGTAAGTCACCGTATATTTCACTTCTGTAACTTAGTCCATAGCTTCAGATTCATCGCCCTCGTTGTTTTAATCTGCAAATCTGATGGAGGATTCAAGTGGCGTTATGCTAAACGTTATGCTAACACACACCAGACAACTGGTAGATGTTTATCTACGGTATTAAAGATAAAGAGTTTCCAACCTGGTGTATTTGTTGTTTCGTGAAAGTCTTTAACTAAAGTGTTGTAGCACAAAGAGACGCGAGGCAGCGTCATGACAACAACAACGATGCTCCTGGTGATCTCTTCATCTGTAGAGCAAATCTGAACAAGGTTCCAAATGCTACACAAAGAAAGTCACGGAAAAAAGAAGAGTCATAGTGAAAAGTGTCTGTCTGTCTGTCTCTCTGTGTGTGTGTGTGTGTGTGTGTGTGTGTGTGTGTGTGTGTGTGTATGTGTGTGTGTATGTGTGTGTATGTGTGTGTGTGTGTGTGTGTGTGGTTTCTTACAGTGACTCATAGGTTAGAGCAGTTATAGGATTTTTAAAACGAGTCTAAAGGACGTAGATCGAACGGGACAGTCTCCTGCAGAGAGCAGCAGCTAACAGATCTGAGGACCTCACACTCCTGCTGGTCTGATCTTTAATGGTCTGATCTTTAATGTATGCAGGAGCCAGATGGTGTGACGCTTTAATTCTGAAGCTAACTCCGGTGTGATCTCAGTCTCGGAAGCATCACCAGCTCTTAACAGTAGTGTTGTTCTGTGTGTGTTGGAGAACTTTGCATTCAGGTTGTGTCAGTGTCTCTTCAGGGAATCATGTTGGGGTCATTGTCATGCTTGAGGATGAATAGGGGACCATTCAGAAGTATTGTGTTGTAGATAAGAATATAAATAGTGCCTGAAATGTTTCCATGTGATCAAATGGTCTTGTTATTGGACGTCCCTGTACATGTACACAAACACTGAAATACTTAACACATTTCTCCTTGTATGTCTTTACTTACAGGTCCTAACAAGGACAACATCAGAGCTGGCTGCAAGAAATGTGGATATCGTAAGTAAAGCTTTGACCCACAAGTCCCATCAAAAGTGAAAAAATGCTTTGCTGTTCATCCATTCTCTTCTCTGCTTTGATTTTCTCCAGCGGGCCACTTAACGTTTGAATGCCGAAATTTTGTCAGAGTCGACCCTCAGAAAGACATAGTTCTGGATGTGAGCAGCACCAGTACTGAGGAGAGTGAAGAGGACGCCCCTGCAGCTCAGCGGAATGAGAAGCAAGGGAGAAGTAGCCAGCATCGCAGACGTAAGAAATTCAATCCCATAATTGTTTTTTTAATCACGAAAAAATGGACCATGCATAGTGTGCATTTTTAAAAGGCAAAGTAAACACTTAGATCCTGTGGGACTCATCAGGTGGTTGGTGAATGTACATAGATCAGCAGTGTTAGTGGGCATACTGTACCTGTTTTCAATGTTGAGTTACTTGCCTTTTTTAATTTATGAGCAGATACTAAGTAAAAAGAATCTTGACTGATCTGAATACAAATTTAACATTTTAGGTCCAGATGATGACGAGAGACACAAGCGGAAGAAGAGCAAAAACAGAAAGTCTAGAAAAAGGTAACTGTTTTTCCGTCCTGCAGTTTTTCTGTTCGTTCGTCCACATTGAGCCAAACTGAACATTGAACATTTCTATACTTGTATTGTCCTCTGGCAATAAAAACAACATGGATGCACTAACCTGACGTGACTGCCTTTACAGATTTAAAGCAGATGTACATTTAGTCGATGATTATTTTACTGAAAGTACTTGACTGATTTTTAAATCAAGAATTATCTGACTAGGAATAAAATATATTTTTGTACAGGTCTTAACTCATGTTAATACTTGTCAGTCCCTCATTTTGGGCAATGATATTCATTGTTTATTAGTATAAATAATATATGTTTTATAGTATTTAACTGTAATTTTATTAGACACAGGTTTGTGATCTTTAAACTTTGTTTCACTCCCAAGGTCTGCTTCATCGAGTGATGAGACCACGAAGAAGAAGAAGAAACGCGACCAGTCCGACTCCTCCTCTGATAAAGAGGAGAAGAGGAAGAAAAAGAAAATGAAAGACCACAAGAAGAAAAGCAAAAAGAACAAGAAGGAACACGCGAAGCAGCACAAGAAAAGACAGAAGAACAGAAAACCAAAGATCTCGTCATCTTCCTCCTCCTCCTCATCCTCCTCCTCCTCCTCTTCTTCTTCCTCCAGCTCCAGTGAATCCTCAGACAGTGACTGAGACGACGTACCTGTGCAGCGTCTGGTGTTCGGACATGTTGTGTAAATAAGGCAGCCAGTCTTGTACCATACAATTTTGAACATTCTCTTTAGGGATTTGAACATCTCACAGAAGACACTGTTCACTGCTGTAAAACACACAAATGTAGCCGCATCATGCTAATGAAAACTTCCCCAAGGCAGACCCACTGTCATTTTATATTATACAGTGTTTGTGCAGAGTCATCTTCAGTGACTTGCTGCAGCGTCGCTCATTGTGCTAATACTGAGTATTTTCAGCGTTATCAATTGTCATAATAAGTCAAGCTGAAGCTCTACGCTTGTGGATGCTGTTCTTTTTGTATTTCAGTCTCTTATTCAATGTCTTGCTTTATTCTTCATTTTAATTTCACAAAGACATTTTAAAAGGTCAAACATAATTCCACTCCCACATCTATGGTTGACGGGATTCTAGCGAAGGATCGCGGTGACAAATATCTGGCTGATATTTTGAAAATTAAAACGATTGAGCCCATTTCTTTGTAAGCACTGACCACTTGACGCCAGTTTAATGATGACATAAAAGATCAGAGATTTGTCTTTATGTAAAATAATGTTTTTACATGTTTAGACTTTACTTTTGCTCAGATGGTTTTATAGTACAAATAAACTCTGTACGATCCTGCTCAGACAAGGTGGCTGCTGTTAATGTCAATGAATGTTGTAATATAAGCAACTATACACTGTAATCACGTGGACATTTCAAGGGTTCATTCCAAAACATTAATGCTTGGTGACTTTGGGAATTTTACCCAAGTCTCTTTATGCAGCTTGTTTATTTCCTGTTCACCATCTACCACAATTTGTCTTTCTTTTTTTGGTCCTCCTCAGAAACTCAATTAAATGTATATTTCTATCAAACTTTTATTGGATTTAAGTTGTGAATTTATTGGTAATTGTGTCATTATAAATGGTGACACGGCAGAAAGGCATTGTAGTTATTAGGACACCAGAGAAGTCTGATGGCAACGTTACATGGTCAGACAGCAGATACAGTCATATTTCCAGCAGAGGGCAGCAACACACATTCTGTGATAACCTGACTGAGAAGACAGTGATCCTCAGTGCAAAGATGCTGAGGTGTGATGTCATTCTTTCTACAGCATGAAGTTGCATTAGGTTGTGAGAGAATTCTCGTATGATCCCAACTGTTGATTGTCCAATCCAAACGTCTTATGAAATCAAGCAAAATAAAGTTCATGATTCTTTTTATTTCTTCACACTTAATTATTTTGAACAAGTTATTCGAGACCTTGACACAATGATGAAATCCACTGTAATTATCTTTACTCCACCTAGTGGTCACAGTGTGAACATTCAGAGGCTGAGCTCCTCACATTGCTGCCTTCATCTCTGACGATGATGTGGAATGAAGAGAGACAGAAAGCTCCTGACACCAGTTTGATTTTTACAGATAAACACGAACAGAAGAAGTCTCTGAGCAACAAGACTTTCTGACTCATAACAGGCACCTGAGTCAAGCATTAATCTCACTTATTCTGAAGGTTGTGTTTCATATCGCGTCCTCACAGGCAGAGTCACATGGTCATACGCTGTATGTACACGTGCAAGACACATGCAAGAATGTCATAAAACATGTTTTCTAACCACACCAGCAGACAGAATGGAGATATCACACTCAGAGGAGACATCGCAAAGCTTTGAGTTTCCTTTATGCCAAAAAATTTGGTCATCTGAAACACTTAGCCATAAAAAAAGCCCAAATAACTTGACCTCATGGATGTCAAACTCAAGGATTATTAAAACATTACTAAGAAAATGACCTTTTCATGCAATTCCAATGCGGAGCTTCTTTTTGTCACCCACCCCTCTCGTTAATGAAGTCATGTGATTTCAGTCATGTGATGTCCATGTTAAACCTGCAGTAAAAGTCTTGTTGACCAGATTCAGTTAGAACAGGAAAAAAACAGACTGGAGTTTATGTCCCATGTCCCAGTTGACCCACATTCACCGTACTTCAAACGATTCCAAGCTACACATGCAACCCTTCCTATGAAAACCTGCAGCTCTGCTCAGGTTTGTGGGCACAACGCTGGCCCACAGGCAGGAGCCACAACCCATATGAAGATCCATCCCCGCCAAGACATGAAACAGCAAAAAGAACCTCAGTGCCTTGAACAAACTGAGGATTTTTGGAAGCCCTTGTGTTTTGTTGGATCTGGGCTGTGTGACAGGTGTTTATAATAGCGCCATTAATTTCACTTTGCCTTGGGGAAGGGGATATCTCTTAAAGCATCTGCAACATCTTGACAGCTACATGCATGGCTGCCGATCAGAGCCTGGCATCATGACAAGACACATCCCGCTCCTTCATATCTTCAAGGTCCGGAGGGGAGATCATTCTTTTTATATTATTGAACAAAACAAAAGATAGATGGATGAATATAAACTGTGGCTTCCCTAATAATTCCACATTATTTGAGCTACATATTGTTGGTAGCGGCTGGTGGAGCCTACCCCCTCATTAAATCACTTTTAAATCCACTTGATCTATTTTATTAGCAGCACCAAATTGCACACACTCATAACAGTATCTCATAAAGTTAAAGAAAGTGATGACGTTTCACACAAATCCGTTCAGTATAGTTTTTTGCATAATCCTGCTGTGAAACAGACAATTGGAACTTAACAATCAAACCAAAGGAAGGAGCAATACAAGTGCAGATAAGAAAAATAGTGCAATAATAAAACAAATAATTGCAAATATTTGTTAACTCGATAGGTGAAGACATTCAAGCAGTTAATTCAGTTTGTGACGTCTGATCACTGTAGGAGCCGCTGGGATGGTAGATTCACAGTGAGACGACATCAAACCTCAAAACTCTTCACAGACAGTTGATCTGTTTGAAGAAGATCTCATTACTTATCATGATCTTTACTGGCCCCCAGCAAACTAACTCAGTGGCTCTGCAACTGCTGAGGTGAGCGACAGCATCAGATGCAATAACGGCAATTTACAGCAACTAAGGAAACGATGCCACATGTAAACATAGTTGAATATTCTTTGTCAACTAGCTCAAATCAATATTCTTAGACGAAGGTCCTGAGTCCATTATTATTATTATTTCCTTGAGCTATCATGAGATGGACACAAAGATATATATTTTTGCAAGATATTTTCTTTGGCATTTTTTGCCTTTATTTGATAGGACAGATTAAGTGTGAGGGGATTGGTGACAAGAGTAAAGGGTCACAGGTTGGAATCGAACCTGGGCCGCTGTAGAGGACTGATGTCTCAGTCTCTATGCGGCGCCCTGAGATGAATACAACTGGAATATTTGTAAATTTCAAACTCCTGCTTTAAGATCGTTAGCTTCGCTTAGGACAAAGCCCAAAAGAAGTTTCCAAATCAGAAAATGAAAAATGATTCTTGAGTAGTTTTAGTTCATCATTGAAATGTTTATTCTCGTTAACATGTGAACTGTAAAGTGCCAATATTTATATGAGTTTAATGGTTTTCATACTGAAGTAACAGACCCATTACCTGCATGTTGCACATCACATCAACACTGTGCACATGCGCGATTCACTTTTATCAGGCTCCTGTAAAGTGTTGACAAAAGAAACTTGGAGAGTGTGAAACTTCATAATTGCCCAGATGGCGAGAGGACAACTCGATACAGAGGAGCAAATGAAGTCGAAGGATTGCCGTCATGTGCAGCCGCGCTGAGCAAACCATATGCTGTTTGTGTACGACAACAACGAGGTTTTCCTCTTTTCACCAGCTCATTGGCTTTTATTGAGCCTGTTGCGCCGCAGGAGAACGGAGCACAAATGGTTCTCCGCTGAGCCATTTAGATGAAAATGAGACGGTCAAAGTCGTCTTTCAGAGAGATTAGCGGCAGCGAGGAGGAGATTTAGCCTCAACGCAAGCATCTTTGAGGCACTTATCTCAAACTTAGTGCAAATCCATTTTGCAAAATGGCTGACCAGAATGACTATACCATAAGGGTAAATGATCTCTCATCAACACAAGGTGTGTTTTTTAATTTGTTCATATACTTCAGCAGCTCAGTTTCAGGCCGCCTGGTTTCTTCTGCAGCGACGTCTGCTTTTTACATTTCATTTATTCACTTTTCATATTCACACAGATGCATTCATTTATTGTACATTTATATTTCCATATTTTTCTTACACAGTATTCATAGTGGAAGGCAAAAAAAGATTTTCATTGTAGAGAACTGTATATATGAAAATAAACGCTTTAAACTTGAACTTAAACCTGAGGGCGGCTCAGTACAACCACAGCTCCGATGGAGATGCAGTTAAATGCTTGGCTCAAAGGCCCCTCCAACCTGCAACCTCTTTGTCATGAACCTACCTCTTAGCCTTAAGGCCACCACCAACATCGCACAGCAAAGCAGAATATCTTCCCAGAAACAAAAATGCAAATCCCTTATGCTGCACTTTGGTGGGAACAGCCCAAGCTGAGAGATGGCGCCGGTTTTGCGTCTGTAACCACTGTTGAAATATTATTTCAGAGGCAAGCCGTCCCCGCATCTTGGAGCACGTTGAGCAGAGCACTTGAAAAACGCATTAGGGCCAAGGGGCAAGTTGGAGGCTATACATTTGCTACCAATTTAGTTCCTGCATCTTAGATTTCGTCCGCTTCTTCCTCTCCTGGCCCTGAAACCAGGCATAATGTAGTAAATAACTTCTAGGATAAATAGACAGCAGGCTTACATGACCCCAGCCATCAAAAACGGAGGATGTAATAAATACGACATAGCTTTACAGGAAACGTGTTCGACATTCACCCAAAACCTGCAGGGAAAGAAAACGAGGGGGCGAATGGGGTGAGTCTCTGTTCACCGCTCTCTCTTTGGTCGAAAGCTTTTTTCCTGAGGTCTGTTATTACCGGCCTAGTTCCTGGGTTCCCATTCAGAGTGGAGCTTGTTCATATAAACCTTGAGGTTTTGAGGCATCGCTGGACTGGCTGGGTGGCTTTCACCGGGGAATTAGCGCAGGGTCGCATTGGATCACGGTCAGTTGGCCCTGTGCAGCTAACCTGTGTTGGACCGGGACCTGGTGGTGGTGAGGACAAGTTTCCTGGCTCTGGAATATGGGTCAGTCAGAACCCAGGATGTGTCGACCCCGATCCTGTAAATCATGAGGCCTTCTGATGCCTTTCTACTTACTGTACAACTTCTAAATCATGTGATCCGACCACCATTTTCCAGATTAGTCTTGATGAGATTGAGAATCTATTCTACTGAAAGACATCACTTTTTTATAGCTAGAGGAATAATGAACAGTGTGGAGACAACTAAAAAGACAGAACAGTTTAAGGCCAGAGAAAAGTTTGATGATAAAGAGAAGGTGATGTATTTTTGTTCTACATTTATTTGGTAACACTTTATATTAGGGAACACACAAAGTAAACATATCCAAGCACTTGATTGTAATTCATGTACAACAACTTCCTTACTTACCATCAATAAGCAGTAATTAGGAGGTTATTGAGGGAAAACTGTTATTCAATGGAGTAGTTGCAGAATAAGGTCATTAAGAACAAGGGATTAATAAGTGCTTTATAATGAGCCAATATGCCTCTAATATCCATGCTAGTAAGCAACTAGTTAATGGTTGATATGTGTTCCCTAATATAAAGTGTTACCATATATTTGCATAGAAATGATTCACTTAGATGATATTTATCCAGTAAATCAAACACAGGCTGTAATGAAACAGATGAGTGAACCATTCCATTGTGTTTTATTGCTTCAGCACCGTGCATCAGCAGATATCTCT